GCCAACCATTCATGCAATTTTATTTATTCATTTTTTAAAATTAATAATCGATACTTGGCGTCAACAATCGATGCAGTATATCACGAAAACTAGAATCACGATGCATCATCATCACGATTATTTTGCACACCCCTAGTGTCCGCCCAGTGTTAAGCAGTGAGACAATGTCATAGCCAGACTCATTTCAAAGGAGGTAAACAAAACGAAGGTGGCATCCTCTCAAGGAGAATGAGCAACTTTAGGAGGCAATCTTTAAGTCTACTGGATATTATACCGCTGTGTTACTGAAGTTATGAAAACACTCCAATGTAATGGTTTTGATGGGGCAAATGGAATATTTAAAAAATATGCAATAGCAAATGCATGAAATATAAAGTTTCTGTTGAATTTATATAAGTAATTAATTATATATTAGTAAGTAATTAAATATAAACTGTAAACCTCCCTGCATAATTATAATAAAGCAATCTATATGCATGAAACAAGTGTACACTTGTGAAAGAAAAATCTGTTGGGCTCTTTTTGGCATCAAGACAATTATTCTTAATGCCACATTGCCAGACAGGACACTGTAAAAAAAAAAAAATATATATATATATATAAGTAATTAAAGAAAAAAAACTGTCTTATCATTGTATTTTTTATATTTTTTAAGGCTGCTTTGTGGTTAAACCTTCTCATAGAAAAGTCAGTGGAAAAATCTGAACACTACACAAAATGCACACGCAAATACAGACTCTTGTGTGTTTCGCTGTAGACCGTCTGCTGTCTGGGTCACAGAGCACATCATGAGTTGCATCCACAATTGCTTTAATTGCACCTGTGTTTGTGTGAACACTGGGTGTGTGTGAGTGTGTTGCGTGTGAACAGGTGGGCTAGACCAAGCAGCGTCATAGGAGTCATTCTATACGCATAAAGAAATGATGTTAGATGCTGATAGGTGTACTTCTCTGGTTATAAGATCCAATGTTTGTATGTTTTTACTGGAATTTAGTTCGTTGTGTTCTTTACACACAGGTGTCTATGTCCTCAGCTGTGTTTCTTTGTGTGTGTGTGTTTGTTTTATACATTGTGGGGACCATTTTCTGGAAAATAACACATTTTAGAGGACTGGCTGCTCCAGACATTTGTCCCTATGGGTCTTATTGCTGTTTTAGGTTGAGGTGTAAGGTTGATGACGAAGGTGTGAATTTAATTTAGGATAGGGTTAGGTATGTACCCATAACATCAAGATAAGGGTCACAGTTTGGCTGTAGAAATGGGTTAGAAATGAATGGAAGTCAATAGAGAGTTCCCACAATCATAGAGAAATGAGATTGTGTGTGTATGCGAGTGGTGTGTCTGTCTAACCTGCAGCTGTTGGGCTGCCATAGCTTCTACCTGGACTCTCGTGCCCTGCCCTCAGGGTTGTGTGTAGACTATGAGGACAGGAAGTTTTGCTTAGCCCTGGAGGCACCCATAAGGCGGGCACATAATTCACTAAAACACAAGCATCCAAAGGTTCCATTAAAAACTGCCGTGTTTATTCAGGCTCTCACAAAATGTTTTCTTTTAAATATGAAACCTAAATTTTTTTATTCATCTCAACTAATTCTCAAAACTGCATCTACTTCCAATTCAGTTTGAAACATTTATGTTTAGTACTTGGAAACGGGGAATCCATTTACTAATTACTCTTAAAGAAAGGTACTAGATTAATGAGTATAGTGAAAAGAGATCACAGGGAAGAAAGAATAATCTATTTGGGTCGTAAGTATTAGATTTTTAAAGAACTGACATACTGAGTCTTTGCTTCATTCATCTGTTCCAGACAATGCTGTTAGCCTTGAGGGGCTCACATTATATCACACCGACAGAAACAGCGAACTCAGCGGTAAGGGGGTAGGTTGTGTGATTACATGAACAAATAATGGTGTAAAAATGCTAGATCGGTCGCCAGCTTTTGGTCCCCAGACATCGAGTTTCTGAGTGTTAACTGGAGGCCGTTCTATCTGCCCAGAGAATTCTCTGTGATTAGCATCACTGCTGTCTCACCTGGACTGTAAAAACCACCTCACTAGTCAAAAGGGCAGAGAAGCATTTGTAGTTCCTGAAGAGGACGAGAAGATCCAACCTGCCCCAACCCATCCTCCCCATCTACAGAAGCACCATAGAGAGCGTTCTGAGCAGCTGTCTCACTGTGTGGTCTGGAGGCTGCAGCGCCTCAGACTGGAAGAAGGTGAGAACAGCAGAGAGGATCATCGGGGCTCCTCTTCCCTAGCCTCGTGAGACCATCCTGATCTCGCGAGCTTTCAAGGTTTCACTCGCAGATCAGTCTGGAGACTCTCCGTTAAAGAAAAATTGGAGCCGTTCACCAAACGAACGTCCAATCAGCGTTGGCTTTGAGGCGGGTTGAGGTGTGACGCAACGAGAAGCGCGACAGTTCAGTCT